CATATCATCTGCTAACAACACAAAAAGAGTCAGTCATTGTGTGTTTCCTGATGGAAGTACACATCACCAGCTATGAAGTATTTTTGTCTTTAACTTTTTTTTATTTTTATTTTTTCTTTTTATCCAGTCCCCACAGGGACTGTCAAAAATTGCCAATGCCGACTATATTGCAAGTTGTCATGGCAGAGTATTGGGAAAGGTTTCAATTAGCAATAATTGCGCCTCTGATAAGCCTCATTGGCTATGATACTGCCACTGTGCAAAGCTATGAAGTATTTTTGTTTAAAAAAACCAATCCCAGAGCTGACCAAACCTGAAGGGTTAACTACCAATTTACAGAAAATACAAGGAACAGAGGAATATGTTAAATGACAACACAGAGATGTAATCAGCAAAATCCAGAGTGTGGGGAACACTATATGACCAATGACCAGGTTTCTTTAACCAAAATATTGCAAGGAAGAAAAAAAAGATATGGAGAGGGAACCTCTAGCTTAAAAGAGATATGAGAGACACAGCAACCAATTGTAATGTATGGACTTTATTTGGATTCTGATTTGAACAAATCGTAAAATATATGTTTACGATATTTGGGAAAGCTTGAACACTGATTAGATATTTGATAATATTAAGAATTGGTAATAATTTTTTGGTGTACTTCTTTTAGAGAAGTACACCAAAGTATTTGCAATTGAAATGATATAATGCCTAGAATTTGACTCAAAGTAATCTTGGAATAGGCATTGGGTAGTGGTACAGATGAATTAGATTGGTCATGAATTCTTAAGTGTCAAAGGTGAGTGAGGAGTACACAATGGCTCATTATACCATCCTTTCTTCTTTTGTAACCGTTTGGAATTTTTTTACTTTAAAAATAAAATATCAAACATTTACAGGTGGTTCTATGCTGCATGCATATAAACGGAACCACAAACATAGTCTCTGACTTCTAAGAAGTCACAGCCTGAAACTGATCACACAGGAGTTGACTTAACAGATGCTCTGGCCTGGCTCAGTGGCTCACGCCTGTCATCCTAGCACTCCAGGAGCCCAGGGCAGGAGAATCACTTGAGCTCAGGAGTTTGAGACCAGCCTGAGCAAGAGCAGGACCCGTTTCTACAAAAAATAGAAAGATCAGCCAGGCATCATGGCACGTGCCTATAGTCCCAGCTACTCAGGAGGCTGAGGCAGGAGGAGGGCTTGAGCCCAGGAGTTTGCAGTGAGGTTGCAGTGATGACGCCACTGCACTGCAGCCAGGGTGACCAAGTAAGACTCTGTCTCAAAAAAAAAAAAAAAAATTGCTCTGGACAACGGAGTAAAATTACTAAACTGTACATGAATAGACAAGTATTCATTCCTGTGAGAATCACGACACACCTCAATTCTCTGGACAGCAATCTGATGATAAAAACAACAAAGAAGAAAGTTTATTGTGTTAAACAAGTAGAGTTTCCTAGCTAACAATGTTGGCAATGTTTAGCAATGTTTTATATATGATCTGATCTTAGTAGAAATAGAATGTATTGAATCAGAATTAGATGACCATGACTATCAGCAAAATATGAATGTCTCAACATTCTGGTGACCTCAAAACTACAGGAGGGAAGGTATGCGTAGAATTTGGAAGTAATCTGTATAAAGGACAATGACTAAAGTTATACCATGAAGAATTTGAGTGCGAATAGAAGGGAATTCACTGAGCCTTTTAGCTCTAAAACACACGAGATGTGATATCTGCCTGTTGTTTACCCACTGGTACGGTCTCAAACAGTATCAAGAAACCATCTTTCACGAACTCCTGTGGCTGTTGCTACATGGCAGAAACCTCAAACTAGAAGACAGCAGAGCATGTTCTCTTAACGGCTTTTATCACTTGGCTTCGTTTACTGGCGATTTTGGCAGGCTGCTGCCTCAGTTGCTCTACTTATTCCTTGTTGTCATTTTTTTTAAAAAAAGGGAGGCCACGCCTGCCCCATGCGAGAAGAATGGAGTGGGTGAAGTGCCAATGAAAGATTCCTGCTCTCTAGGAATAATTCCACTATTTTATTCCAGCTTCCTGTTTCCTGTAACGCCAGATTTCAGCATTCTTTCCAAGATCATTTTACAAGCCATCTCCTTATCTTTGGTGAGCTCCTTTCTGCTCATTTTTCTGGGGAGGAAGATTTCCAGTTCTCATAACTACAGAGTCAATTCCAACCAGGTAAGAAGACTGTTGCTTCCTCTGGCCCTTAAGTGTTTTGTCTTCTAATCTGAGCCTCCTGCCAATATCAAGGCTGGATTCTTCTTTAATCAGATAGTCACTTGGACCATAATTTGGACTGTAATCACAAAAGGATTTTTGAGAGGTGAGGGAAGCC